TCTATTCAACAGTTTTGAATCTATTCGGTAGGTAGAAATTGGAGACATTTTAAATATTAGATAAGACCACACCAATTCTCAATCATGCTACTAATATATTCTCACTTTTTATATATAAATATAGACACATATAACTAAGTGTGTACACCAAACTTGAGAAGACATTTGAAAAAAAAATGAAAAGTTTTGCAAACCTTGTAACTATATTTTTATTACAAAGCTTATCGCTTCCTCTTTACAGTTCATGTCTTCATCAATCTTCTTCAGATGATTCATCATCACCATTTCCTTCTGATTTCCTCTTTGGCACAGCTTCTTCCGCTTATCAAGTACTTTTCTTTTTCGTTCCGTTATTGTATTGCTAAAACAAAAACAAAATTGGAGTTAGTTTTCATAAATTATATTTTGGATTTTTTGTTTGTTGCTAAGATGCTTTTGGGATGTTTGTTTTTCTTTATGTATTCAGTATGAAGGTGCGTACTTAACTGATGGAAAAGGCCTGAACAACTGGGATGTCTTTAGCCATGAAAACCCTGGTATGTGTATTTACTTTTGGATTTGTTTTGGGTTATTTTCGGTTAAAATTTAACATGACATCATAGTATGTTTTATTACTAGCCCCTTAGTTAAGTGAAATTTAGTTTAAGATGGATCAACAAAAATCATCATCTTGAGAAGGTGTTAGGATCTACAACAAATTTTTAAAAACATAACATAATATATAAGGGACATGAATCCATCTACTCATAACTGGTTATAAATTGGAATTTAATATGATATTAGGGGTAGGTTTGTTGACTCAAATAGAATGATCTAAATAAGATTAATTGTTGGTTTTAGAGTAAAGTCCGATTCAAAATAAATCTATGAAAACTATTTTACTTAAGGAGCGTATTAAAATTTACATAAAAATTGAAATAATATAGAAGAAATATACACCAATCCACTTGTGATTTGTTAATAACTAATTTGAGTTGGAAACTATGAAAGTAACATTTATACGTTAATTTGTACCTATTTAAGTATGTAAGCATAGCATACTTTAACTTTAATTACAATTTCAACTTTATTCGATGTTTTTGTCGACAAGTTGTCGTTTTTAAATTCCCGAGTTTATTCCATTGACAATATTATATGGCAAAATGCAGGGAAAATACTGGATGAGAGCAATGGAGATATAGCTGCTGATCAGTATCATCGATTTATGGTTAAATAATCTTCTTATCATGTTTTTTTGACTTTTTCTAATTTAAATTTCACGTCGTGAATAACGAGGTTTGTTTTATTATTTTAAATTATCAATTATCTATTCTTACAGGAGGATATCCAATTAATGACTTATCTTGGAGTCAACAGTTACAGATTGTCAATTTCTTGGTCTAGAGTTTTACCTAGTAAGTCTTCACTTCCTTAATCATGATTATAATGATGTTTATCTACCATCCATCGATCGGTTCATATATCTATACCGGAAACGAAATATTCAATCAGGCCTATATATTTGTTTGTTTAACAAAATATACCTATGTTTTATATTCTTGTACTGTTTTTATTTTAATTAAATTGTACCAAAAAATATATTTACCTAATAAAAAGCCTTTGCATTTGGAAAATACAGAAGGAAGAACTGGAGGAATTAATTATTTGGGAATAAAGCATTACAACAGTTTGATCGACGCTCTTATTAGAAATGGTAATAATAACTCTCTCTTGTTTTAATTTTATTCATTATTTGTTGATGAACTAAGTGCAAAAATCTAATCTCAAAATATTAATATTCATGTAAATATTTCCAGGGATTAAACCATTGGTGACGTTGAACCATTTCGACTATCCTCAAGAACTCGAGAACCGGTTTAAAAGTTGGTTAAGCCCCGAAATGCAGTGAGTAGTAAATAAGTTAAATCTTTAACTAATTAACCATAACTAACTAAAACTAATTCCTTAAAACTATTTTTACTAGGATGGAATTTGGGTACTTAGCCGATATATGCTTTAAACATTTTGGAGACCGAGTTAAACATTGGTTCACAATAAACGAACCAAACCAACAAATAATCTTAAGCTATATTAAGGGTATATTTCCACCAGCCCGGTGCTCCATGCCATACGGTAATTGTAGTCAAGGGAATTCAGAAACTGAGCCATTTATAGCTGCGCATAACATGATCCTTGCACACGCAAAGGCGGTTCAAATATACCGAACCAAATATCAGGTAACCAACCAATAAAAATATTTATATGGTTCAACTATTTTTTTGTAATAAGTCGAAATAAATATGATGTGTTTGTAGAAAGCACAAAGGGGAATCATTGGCATTGTTGTGCAAACATCATGGTTTGAACCTGTAAGCGATTCCATTGTGGATAAAAAAGCTGCAGAGAGAGCAATATCATTTTATTCGAATTGGTATGTTGTATTACTCTCTGTTGGACCAAATATTTGATTCATATATGAATATGTATAATTCAAAGAAATCTTAAGTATTGTGTACTAAAATACCAGGATTCTAGATCCCGTTGTATATGGGAAATATCCGGAAGAAATGGTGGATATACTTGGAGCTGCTTTGCCCCAATTTTCAAGCAATGAAATGAAGAACCTAAAGAAATCAAAGTCAGATTTTTTGGGTATTAACCATTATACAAGTTACTTCATCCAAGACTGTTTGAGCTCTCCTTGTAATTCTGGAGAGGGAGCTTCTAGAAGTGAAGGATTTGCCCTCAAATTAGACCGAAAAGGCAATGTTTCAATTGGAGAACTTGTAAGTATATTTGAACATATTTTTCTAAGGTTTTGCCTCGACACTCCATAATAATATAGTGGGTTATAATATTCTTTTTGAAATGTTTGTTTTTTCGCATATGTTAGACAGACGTAAGTTGGCAGCATATTCATCCACAAGGGTTCCGAAAGATGTTGAATTACCTAAAAGATAGGTATCCCAACATACCAATGTTCATCACCGAAAACGGTACACAGTACCTCAAGATATTTTCGGTTATATCCAAATTTTGTTTGGAATGTGTTTTGAACATTTACTATCAATGGTTTGCAGGTTACGGACAACTGCAAAAACCGGAGACGACAGTTAAAGAACTTCTCAATGATACAAAAAGGATACAATTCATGAGTGGATATTTGGATGCATTGCAAGGAGCGATGAGGTACTGTTTTTGTAGCTATCCAAGTCGTTAACATAAGTATAGAACCAAATTAGGAGAACTTAATTACATTAGGTAGATATTGAAATACAGAATCTATAACCAATTACAA